GATGCATTTGATTTGTGGGCCAGCACGCCGTGTGCAGCGAAGGCCGGCGTTTGATTTATGAGCCAGGGACCTTGTGGTCAGGTTGGACGAGAGCGCTTCACTACTCTGCTGCTTCCCAGCACTTAAAATTTAACAATCTGTCTGATTGTTATGTAGATCTGTGCGCCGCTCCAATCCATTACAGAGCTCGGCAGCACATGTTTGGGTTACTGGGCCAAGAATTATGAAGAACTGATTTTTTTTTTTTTGTTTTTTCTCCACAGTTGTGGTGTTTTTAATGTCTCTTTTCTGAGAGGAAGATTTGCTCGGGTTTGATCGTGAACATTCCACATGTGGGAGTTTTCACACAAATCCAGAAGAATCCTCGGGCTACGGTTCACATTTATTAAAGTGAACATAAAACATGAACGAGAGGCTTTAAAGCCGCAGGGAAATAAATCAAATAAACAAACCTGTGGGATTTGACCCTGTTTAAAGTCACACAGTTAAACACTGTAAACTGATCAAATCTCCCGTGTTTTACATGTATGACAGAATGATTTATCTGTACGCCGTTCATTCTGTTGAAATGCATTAGGGGAAAAAAAAACTTGCTGTGAGTTCCTGTCACATTTTCTTTTCTCCAGTAAAGACGATATAAAGAGAACACTTGTTGTTCTGGGGCAAAACATTGGCTAAAATATCAGAGAAGAATATAAATATAAAATCTAAATGTACACTATATTTTTATGCTGTAGTGTATGACGCTGTAGTGTATGACTCACCCGCTCAAAAGTCATGGATTTAACATTAAAGACACTATGTTATTGAATGTAGGTGTGAAAAGTCTAAATTAGATATCTTAATTCTCTTGATTTATTTGTTTCTAACAGTCGAAAATCACAGGAATTGAAGAAAGACACAATAATAATAATAATAATAATAATAATAATAATAATAATAATAATAATAATAATAATACATAAATATAAAATAAATATGTAGAAAAAGCAAAAAAAAAATTTAAATAAATGTATGTAACATAATAGCAGGGGAGTTGTACACGTGAGTTAGTTTAACTTTTTTTTTTATATATTTTATATTTAGCTGCATTTCAGCAAGCACGTGAGTTAGTTTAACTTTTTTTTTTTAATATATATTTAGCTGCATTTCAGCAATTCTGCCATGAAGGAGGCAGTGTACGTCGAATCTCATCTTAGCCACGGTTTTCGCTCCTCTGTTTTATAAATGTTTGGGAAAACTCAGGGTTGTTGGTTGCTTTTTTTACAAGGAAAACTCTAAACTTGCACCAAGAACACAAATGGAATACGTATGTCTGAGTTCCCAGCTTTCTGGAATGCAGCGTATGGAGAGAGGGGAGGAGCTAATAAGACACAGGTGGAGGAGGTTAGGTAATCACTGTGGAAGGAGCTGCAGGGCGAGGGGACAGGGAGTGGAGCTCACAAGGTGGCCTGAAATTAAATCTACTTTTCACTGAACTGTAATGTAAGAAGTTGACCACAGGAAGTGAAGGAGACATGTTTCCAGTTTACCTACTGGTTTAGCTAAGTCATTAAGCTAGTGGAGGATAACCAGCCATCAACCTGGGAGGACGATGTGAGGGTAAGTTCTTCAAATTCTCACATCCTCGTTCTCGTAGATTGTTGGTAAAATGTTCAAATCACCTGCGATGTTGAACATTCTAGATTAGCAGGTTATGTTTTCAAGAAGAACCACATTGTTCTCAGTTAAAGCTAAAGGGTAAGCTAACGTTCTCCATATCCAAATATGAAGAACTTGGATGGAGGTAGAACCCGGTGATGGAAGTCCTCCTCTGCTGCTGTAGCGTGGCGTGCAGCCTGATTCTGATTTCCAGTGAGTACCACTCACCCCATCTGTTCAGAAGTGGGCTTGGTGGCTCTCTGGCAGCAGAAGAAACCACGGACAGACAGACAGGAACAAGTGGAGACAGACGGAGAGAGAGACACAAAGACTGCTGAGGGAGAGAGGGAGTATTGGTTTGGAAAGACGGCACAGACCCATCTGATGTTATTCTGGACACTCCAGATGGTTTGAAGTATGGAGGTGTGTGTTTTGGTGGTTGTGTGTCGGCGTGTTTATTCCAGACTGTGTGCAGGTATTCTACAAACATGTTTGTTCTGTATTATATCAGGAAAACAAGAACACCTGCGGCCTGCAAAATGAGAAAGTTCTTTTCTATGTTTTGATGATAAGATGGCCTAAAAAAAAAAAAAAGCTTCAGATTATCTTTGATGTAGTAACATTAACAGACCTATGGAAGTCATTTTCACAATCCACGTGATTTGTTGATTTTATGCAGATTGGTCTTCCTCAAACCATCCTCATCCATTTATCAGTACTTGGGACCTCCACTAGGGAAAATAGAAAAAAAAAGTGAGAGTAGATTTGGTATAAAAAAAAAACATATATATGTATATATGTGTGTGTATGTGTGTATATATATATATAAATATATATATATATATATATATATATATATATATATATATATATATATATATATATATATATATATATATTTATATATATATATACACACATACACACACAGTATATAGCTTTATACATCTGTTATCTGCTGTAATTGTGAACCATGAAGTCTTTTCAGTAGAAAGGCTTTGGAGCCAAATTGAACCAGTTCCAGAACCAGGTTGTGTTCATGGCTACAGTAGATGGTTTTCTCTACCTGTGTTAGAGAGGGAGTGTGTTCATGGTGATATCAGGTTAATAAATCAATAGTATAGCTATCTGAGAGACAATTACTGTTGGTGAGCACTCTCACACACTCTCTCACACACACACACACACTCACCCACAGTGGTTTATGTGCCCTGTATTCTAGTAGGTGTTGGAGTAAAGTGTATTAAGTTTTTCTGGAGGTGAAAGTAGCAGAAGATGAATGATGTTGGAGGGAAGAGCGATTGTGTAAAGTGAGTTTGTAAATGGGAGTGTTGGAGGAGGAGGAGGAGGAGGAGGAGAGGACAGTAGAGACTCAGTACACCACGGTGGAGTGTTCTTAAATCCTGATTAAAATATATTTCCTCCCTCTCTGTTGGGTGTTTTTTTTTTTTTTTTCAGATGTACTCCAGCGTTGGCCTTGGGAAGCCGCTCTAATGCTGCTCTCCCCTCATTTCTCCATTATGAACTGGTTCTTTAATTGGTGCTCACAGTACAATAGTGGGTGAAGTGGGCTTCATTTTGGGTTTTGTCAATTAAACAGCCAGTAATGTGTGTAGCTGTCACCTGGTTTGCCTCATTTGAGGTTTTGGCACTTTTAGCCACTTAATTACCGATTTGCTCTCTTTTATTTCTCTGCGCGCCGAGCGCCGTTAAAAGCTATTCATAAATTGTTCAGCACCGAGCCAGCGCTCTTTTGTTCCGTGTGTTTCTTTTTCCCTGCAAACTTGGCTTCTCGCAGTTAATGTATGCTTCCATTTCTGCAAGCGTTCAGCAGCTAAAGGTTCTCACTGGGATACGGAAGTGCCAAGTACGACACAGGCATGGACACCTCATTGGTTTTATTATTTATTTAAATTATTTCTAATGGTTGTTGTTTTGGGAGTAAAGTCGACTCAACTCACAAAAGGCGCAACGACAGTGAGAGTAGAAGTAGAAAGTAAAAGTACGGAATAGATAAAAAGTATAAAAGGTGGTGTTTTCACAGCAACGATACGACTATGGCTCTGATTGGACCTTGCATATACTGTAGACCAGGCATGGACAAACTAAGGCCCGGGGGCCGTATGCGTCCCATTCAGCTTTGTAATCCGGCCCGCCAAACTTGTCCAAATGATATAATTGGTTTGTATTGTGATTATAGTTTTGCCTTCTCTCTACAATGCCCGTTTTCCCCATAGATGGCGTAGAGAAGGCTAAAAACATTTCAGCATTTTAGCCTTCATGCAGGATTTTAACATTGCTCCATCTATCTGTCCTGCCCCACCCCCCCCCCCCCCCCCCCCCGTAAATATTTAGGACCAATTGTGGCCCATGAGTCAAAAAGTTTGCCCACGTCTGATTTAGACAAATCCAGGGTATTGGTGGGTAGAACTCTGTGTTCTCTGAATACGGGTTCCAGAGTGGAGAAGTTTGAAAACTCTGGCTCTGTGTGTCTGTCGCAGCTGTGTCAACAGGGTTAAAGGACCTTGAGTCCAAAATCCAATCAACTGTCTGGTTGTGCCGGTATATGGCCTGATCACGGTTTGGACACCATTTATGGCGTTTGTTGGAGCCGCTGAGGCACGCAGCACTGAAAAAGTCCTGGCTACACTCTGCTGCTTTTGACGTTTACTCATTATTAATAGAACTCTGTGGAGGTACAAAGGGAGGTCAAAAAGTTCTAAGAAAACAACAGATCTATTTGTCTACATATCCTCTGCTTTGGTCTTAACGTGTCTGTGATCGGGGTTGGCGTCAGAGAACTCCGTCTTCGCAGAATTCTGGGCTGTGTCTTTCTCTGCAGGTCACGACCTGCTTGTTTGCCTTGTCTGTGGATTGAAATCCAACTCCCTTCAAATGTTCTTTGAGTTTGTGTGAAAAGAAAAAAAAAGTTAGAGCTTCATGTAAGATTTTAAAACTGGTGAAATAAAAAGCATTTTTCATCGCCGAAACTCACAGCTGTAGTATGAGTTAGCTGAAACAAACTGGACGACAACCTAAAATGATTAAACTTGTCAAAACTGTTGGAGAAACCAGAAAGATGTCTTATCCTCAGTGAAGGTTAGCCCTGAAAAATCAATTAAAGCTAATGGTTACCAAAAACTTTTTTTCTAGTTACTATTTTATTCTGAAAATTAAAAAGTTAATTTCTTAAACATCACCATCCTTAACATTAATATCGAACTATTATTGGAATCATTGCGTCATGTGTTACCTCCTTCCTTGCTGAACGGTCTAACATTTGTCCTGTGATCGTTAATCTGCTGCTTTTCATAATTAAATGCAAATGTGACTAATTTTGATTCCTGCGTCTCTTCCAGCTGAATCTTGCGGCGGCGTGGTCCAAGGTCTGAATGGCACCATCGAGTCGCCTGGTTTTCCCCACGGCTATCCCAACTATGCCAACTGCACATGGCTGATAATAACGGGGGAGAGGAACCGCATCCAGCTAACCTTCGTCACGTTGGCGCTGGAGGAAGACTTTGACATTGTATCGGTTTACGATGGACAGCCGCTGCCTGGCAACTTAAAGATGAGGTTGGATTTTTTACCCTTTATTTCTCACCTTGTTTCTTGTTTTTTTTTTTTTATCACCGACCGTTTGTCCTGCTCACATCTGTCTTCCTTCATCATCATCAAACACTCACTCGTTGACAGCTCTACTTGTCTTCTGTCTCCAAAAAAAAAGCCTTGACATTTGGACAACAGCTCATTGATATGTGAGCTTTGAATACTTAACCTACGTAGATTGACGGGAACAGTCTCGGCCTTTTCCTTGAGTAGATTTTCTCTCCGCTTGAATAAGTAGATGAAGAACTGACATGGTGTCTGTGAGCGTGGCAAGTGTCCAAATGGAATTTGTTGAAGTTGAGATTTTAACCCTGGTTTTAAAAGACAGGGAATCTGTGTTTTTTGGTCTGATTCCGTCTGGTGCAGCTCCACACCTGAGTGAGGAGGTGAGTTACAGTATCTCCCTCATTGTTTTACTGATGACTTCTTAGATGACAGAGACTACAGGCAACAGTTGGTTCTCTCTGCTGGGTTCATGTGAACAGTTCTGAGCACATCTCAGTTCTATAGATACTGCATTAAAGCACTGTGTGTGTGTGTGTGTGTGTAATGATGGGGCGTTTGGCCTTTCATACCAAGATGGTCTAGTGATGTGGGCGAGTGTTGTTTGACCTCAGGCTCAGGCCATACATTTATGTCCAGTCCAGAAAAATATCAAATATTTGAATAGAATAGAATAGGTAAGCTGACAAACACTTTTATCTGTGGTCAGGTTTTACTGTCAGTGTTTCCTTGTTATATCTTGTAAAAACACTAAAAACCAACACAACAATATGGATGGATGGATGGATGGATGGATGGTGGGTAGAAAACCATGCTTTGACTGGCCTCACAGCAGCTACAACTGGTGAATAAATGTCACCTGTGTCTGACGGTCACCAATGCAGACAAAGCTGATGTTGTTTTCATCATCACGTGTTACAGTGCCTTCCATGTGCATTTCATCCCCAGGGCCCAGGAAATCTGTGGCTGTAAATGACATGAAAATAATGAGAACAGGCAAACACATCAGCTCAGGTGACGTGTGTGCACGAGTGATCAGCATGAGTGAGATGGAGAAATGATTACCTTTCATAAAACGGGCGGGGGGAGTCGGGGGGGGGGACTTACACAGACGTTTGGCTGTTATTTACATGTGATTTAACTGATGAACAAAACGAAGTGAAATAACCAATAACGTGACACCACGCAGACTTTCATACCGTAAAACAACCTTCATTAAAGGCAGATGTTGCTCCATCACACCCAGAAGTGATGGATGTGATGGTGTTCGATGGTTTTTAGCAGTAAAGAAATATATACGTGGTTAGAATCTGTCAGGACTTAGAGGAGCTTAAATGGGCATTTACTGAATCCAGAGAGTTTATAGACAGCAGACGTAAAACACACACACACACACACACACACACACACACACATCAGTGTGTCAGTCTGACTAAAACTGGCCTTTAAAAAAAAAAAAAAAAAAAATTCAACCAAAAAACGGAATTACACGGATAATGCTGTTGAGATTAAGCCCACCTTGCATGTATTGATCTTGCCTCGCTGCACATCAGTGACATTTGCCGTCCACAGCTTTGTCCCGCAGCTGCAGAAGCAACATGTGCTAATGTTTTGGTTGGATTTCAAGAGTAAACACTGTTGTCATCTGTTGTCAAATGACACCATAATCACAGAGGATAGTGGGTATTTAACCAGCCAGCATGTCAGAGTCAAACATACATCTGTTGAATGTATACGCTCGTGTTTGTATATGGGCCGTGGCCATTAAGTTGTCCAGTGAATGCAGCCGTTTCTGAGTGTGAAAGTCTCTCTGCTGCTGTGGACATTGTTGTCCTGTTCTCTATGAAAGTCTTAAGGGAAATGAATTAAATCTCTACATTTAACCCATTTGTGCCACACTAGTGATTGACACCACTGTTCTGGCAGATGCAAACCTCAGAATTATATCTGATTCCATTTGACCATTAGGTGAGTTTGTCATTGGATGAACACCAACCACAGTAACACACAGGCCAGAATCACTGCATTATACAACTGAATAACTGTTATTTTAGAAATGTTGTCTTTTGTCCCTCAATGATTTATTTATTTCTCGTTGTTCATCAGTTTTGATGCAGAAACGCCAACGAGACCAGACCTGATGTTTCATTTTAGGCATGTAGCCATACAGTCCAAAACAGTTACCTATTAAAACGTGAATGTGTCGATGGCAATGATAAGAATTGTTTTATATGTAAAATAATATAAAAAAAAAATTGTAGCCTGCCCTTTAAGATCCATAAAAAGAAAAACAAAACAATGCACCATTAAAAAAAGAAGATATTCTTCACTATGTGAATTTCCAAAAATGTTTCTCAAAAGGTCAACTCCTAAAGTGTCCCAAGCTATTAGAAAAAAATCAGGTTATTTGTACTTTATGCTGTTTAATGTTAGACTCTGGCTGTTGGTCGTGAAGTATCCGCGACTTTCACGTCTGTTTCTACATCAGAACGCTCCCCAGACGAGTGAGGTGACCTTATGTTTGTCACTCCCATTATCCCAGCGAGACCTGAACGCACCAGGGCCATTTCAAGTACAGCGCCTTCTGCAGGCTTTCATATGTAAAACACCACTTGAAGTTCATGTATACAGGAGCTGGGGGGGAGGGCGGGGGGGGTTGCTCCTCGGCCTCCTCATCCTTCTCCTCTGTTGATGCTGGGACAGCTTTGACTGGTGTGGACATTAGTGAGGACAGGCACTCAGATCACTGGCCATTCTTCTCTGCTTCCCTTGGGATTCCCTGCTCTGCTTGTCACTGCTGGCACAGCTTGGCCCTTCTTGTAAATATTTCTTCAGCTTCTGCCAAACACTACTAGCTATAAAGTCCCCGCCATTCCTCCGCCGCATTCACACATCAAAGTGAAACGTATGTTTTTTTGTTTTTTGTTTTTACATGATGCAGTAAACTCCATCCTCGGGCCAAACGGGCTCTACTTTATATGACAACCTGTCTTCTCCAGGCTTTTAGGTTTAAAAAAGGGTCCAGGGAGACAGTTTCCTAACAGACAGATTGTTTTGTGTAATATTCTCTTTCTGTTGCAAGTCTGAATTTGATTTGATTTTTTTTTTGTTGGTTTAAATTTGATGTTTTCTTTGACTAAACGTTGATCGAATGAAGGGATAAGGAAGTCAATCTGTGAGACGTTGTATTAGTTCAGAGAAAAAGAGACAGCTGTCAAGATAAACGTTCACATCGTTATTAATTTATATATTTATTTATTTTGTTGACATCGTCATTCTGTTTGTTTATTCTTGCTGTTTTTAATTAGGTAGTTTGAGTGTTGTTTATTCTTGTTGTTTTTAATTAGGTTTATTCAACAGAGTTTGTATTTGGGGGATGCCCCCCCCCCCCCATTCTTTTTACACAATTTACATGTTGAGAAAATGTAAAAACATCAGCAGTTAATGTATCCCTGTAGAATTTACCTGGACATAGATCAGCTTGGCTTCTGAGTTAATGGTTGCCAGTTTGAATCCAAAAAAGTGAACTGCCGTTGTGTGTTCTCCCACTTCCTGCAGCCAGTTTTGTGTGTGGGTTAACTGCCGTGGGCAGATCTGTTGTGCAGAGCAGTATGTAAAACAACAACAAAGTATCTCTTCTCCTTCTTCTCCTGCTTTACTCTGCCTAGAACAGCAGTGGGCTACACTGAGTCAGTGCTCCTTGAACTGGCCTGTAGAACCCCGGTATGATTTTTGAATTATCTTCATGCTTTTTTTTTTTTTTTTTTTTTCCCCTTATCTTGGCTCCACGTGTCTCCATTTAGCTGGATGACCCATAAACCCTCCTCTTCTTACAGCTTCTGACTGAATGTGTCAGATTTGCTGATATAAACCCATCAGGCTGCCTACAAAGACAGTGGGAGGAAGCTCAGACCAGCTGACTGGGGTTTCTTTGTTCACAAAAAGCAGCTCTAAAGAGCCAGGATCTATCTCACTCTCACAGCCCTCCCTTCCTACGGCTCTCAGACATCTGTGCGTGGGGAGACTCCAGCGATCTCATTTGTAGAAGATGGGCTGATCCGACATCAGTGGCCTCTTCATAACAGCCCCAACTGAGTGTACAGAGATCAGGTACAAACAGGACGGCGCCTCCTGTGTTCCAGGCTGAGGTGGAGACCAGAGGTGCTTCACTGGCTCCAGAACTAACTCTGAACACAGAACTGATTGTACTTTAAATAAAAATATTGTAGGTATGGGATTAGCATTCAATGGTAATTCAGAATAATCTGCTTGAATTATTGTCTTCCGCTTCGAGCAGTGGTTCTCAATAATTTTCTCTTATGTATTTTCTGTACAAACTGTATGAGTTGCTGCCACCTAGTGACTGGAGGCCTCCCCCCCGACACCTCAGAACTCCGTCCCACTATTTGAGAAGTGCTGGCTTAGAGGGTTTTACCAAATTATAGTTGACACTCATACTTTTTGTCGGTTAAATACGACCCAATCATCGCCGTTTCTCTGGACTTGAAAACATCAATAACGTTTTACGTCCGTGGTTCAACAGCTGACCTGGAAACTGGACCATGATTCATCTCAACATTGAAAACATCAACACAATGAACACAATGAAACTAATTTAGTGAAGCTGATGGAGATAAATGACATGGCAGTTTTCACACCAGTGGCTTTGCTTATCACCATTTAGAGGAAAGAAAGAGAAGCAGATACGTTTCTGGAGTCTTAAGAGTTTTTTATTGTGTTGTAGCATTTTGGAGTACACAGAGTACACAGAGTACGCATAGTTTTCTGGGAATGTAGGATTTTTCATTTTCTGTGCACTCAAAGTATAGTTTGGTCACGGTGACACGGCACACCACTGCACGCTACGCATGTTACCCATCATCAAAGACAGCAGGGGGGTTTGAAGCCAGGACCTCTCGCACTCTGAGACTCCCTAGAAAAAAAACTTTTTATTTTTTATTTTC